CCCCAAAACCCCAAAACCCCAAAACCCCAAAACCCCAAAACCCCTCCATTAAAAATAATATAAAATAGACAAATTAGCAATCGTTAATAAAATATATCAAAAGCATATGGACTTAGATTGTGATTTAATGCTTCCTTGAGAAAATTGAGACTATAAAGTCGACTAATCAGGATTAGGGATGGCTCTAGTTCTTAGTCTCATCCGATAGAGATTTAATATATTTGTACTAGTCAATTTTTACTGGGATAAATGCCTTATTACTCTTTCAGTCGATTATGATAAGTCATCAGATCTCCTTTCGGTCAAGCATGAATTTCTAAAAGTTTGATTCCTCGATTATTGAGTCTAAAACTCAATCTTCTTTCTTTATCTCTAATTTTCTTTAACGAATATTTTCTTCTCGCTATTCCTTTGTTTGAAGAAGTTCTTGGAGTCATTTACAAAGTAGTTATCTCCAATTCTTATTATATCAATCGAATTTGATCTTTATACTTAGCTTCTTTTATTCTATAATTTTATAATAAGCTTCTCCATTATCATTTCAAATATGTCCTTATCTAATAGCTATCTATCTATATCCTCGTATTCAAACAGTTTGATTATTTTCAAATATTCATTCCCATTCACCATTTTATTTCTCAGCAATTTATTAATCCTTCGAAAGGTAATATGCATTTATTCCTGTATTTTGTGCTCAACAGAATCTGTTAATGAAGTCTAGTTTATGAATGTCCTGGTTCTAGTTTGGTAGTTTAGCATGTCTAGGTTTTATTTGTTTTAAACTGGGTTGATCTGAAGTAAATCTTTTCTTTTAATCAGTAGAGTTTTTTTCGTATTATCTATTTTGAATTTTGGAGCTGGCTTTTCATGGATGAAATTCTAGCTCTCTCTTATATTTTTTGAATTAATGGGCTTTAATTTTTGAAGCTTACTTGGCTTACTTCTATCCTCGATAAAGAAAACAGGACTTCTATCAATGCTTTAATTTTGGATGCTTATCTCATTTGATTACGCTGAATTATCATAATCCTTGAAATCATGTGAAACTTCTGATGCTAAGCTATTTTAATGAATTTGAGCCTTGCTATATTATTTATAAATTAGTTTCTTTGCTTGCTATTGAACTTTAAGTAAATACTAGCTCTACTACTACTTTTAATAGGGTTAAATCGGACTTTTACCATTCATTTTCTTTTAAAGCCGGAGATCTCTTAAATTAGAGAATTTCTAAGTGATAAAAGTATTGCATTCCATTTAATTTATTTGAGAACACTATTTGAATTAAATCTGATAATTATATTAAAAACTTTCCTTATTATGAATCTTTTATCCATTATTTATTTTGCTTTAAGGGGTTTTGGGGTTTTGGGGTTTTGGGGTTTTGGGG